GGCCGGGAGGTTACAGGAACCTGCACAAAATATCTGTATATTAAGGGCCCCCTAACAGGAGCTGTAGGATTCAGGCTACCCCACAGAGACCTAGTGTGGTGTGGGGAGGAATAACTCTGCTCCCTCTTGTCACCCTATTCTGTCTCCTCTTGCCCTTAGGTGCTCCCCACTGACCAAACCCTGATGATTGATTGATTGATTTATCTATTTCTGTATTTATTTATATTTTACTTATTTATTAGAGAGAGAGCGTGCACGTGCAGCAGTGGGGGGAGGGACAGAGGGAGAGGAAGAGGGACAAGCAGACATCTCACTGAGTGTGGAGCCCGACACTGGGCACGATCCCAGGACCCCAAGGTCATGACCTGAGCTGAAGTCAGATGCTTAACGATGGAGCCACCCAGGTGCCCCCTGATTATTCTATTTAATATCTGCCTCTCCTACAGTAGGTGCTCAGTTAGTATCTGTTTGTTGAGTGAACGCATTAAGCCAGCCTGTATTTAGAGCCTTTTCTGTGCCAAGCAGTGGGCAAGACAAGCATGGACCCTGCAGTCCTGGATCTCACAGCTTGATGGGGGTCCCATGGGGGAGTGTGGGAGCTGATAGAAGGGGCACTAGACCCTGTTGGAGGGGATTCAGGGAAGGTATCCCCTGAGGGATCTTCAGACTGAGAAGCATAGGGGGAATTAGCCAGGAGAAGGGAAGGGAGTTCAGGGAGGATGTCTCCATTTAGAGAACAATCTTTGCTAAGGCCCAGAGGGAAGGAGGGCAGGAGACTAGAACCCAGGCTGAGAGGGAAGTTAGCCCTCTCTCTAGTGAGTTCTCCCCGTGTTCTCAAGGAAGCCCTGGGGGGAGATGGAAAGAGCTGGCTCTAAGGACTGATCTGGGCTCTAAACCTGCCTCTGTCGCTGATTCACTGTGTGAGCTATGCAGGTCACTCCCCTTCAGTTTCCTCCTCTGAAATGGGGTCATATCGCCCACCTCACAGCATTGTTGTGACGTTGTGCTTATGAAGTGGAATATGAAAAGTGCTAGGTACATAGTACAGACTCCGCTAACACAAGAGGAAGGGAGCACGCCAGGTGTGCTGGCTGCTTTTATGTGCATAATTTCATCTGATCCTCACAACCCTGAGCATTTCTTTAGATGCCCCCGCCCTTCTTTAAGTTTGTCTTTGCTTAAAAGAAGCACACAGGAAACCGGCCCTTTAGAGGTTGCTCTGAGGACCAAAGGAGGGGTGTTTGTGAAAGCACTCTACAGACTCGGGGGTGATACTGGGCTGGTTGTGGTTTGGTCATTATGAACATACAGTCTCTGCTTGCACACCTCCAGGGACAGGGAGCTCACTTCTTTAGGTGGCAACTTACTCTAGGGGAGCACAACTCTGCCCTCTACCTCTTGCCTCTCCCTCCATGCTCCATGCTCTGCCTTCTTTGAGACTGCTTTGCCCCGGAGGTCAGATCTGGCTTTCACTGCTCACACCCCAGTCATCCTGGGTGGTGGATCCCCATGTCAGGATTACAGAAATGAGCTCCCTGGTGGGCAGGGTCCCAGGAAGCTAACTATGCCCAAGCAGAGGGGCTGGGCCCTGAGCCCACCTGGCTGCAGACTCTGCAGGCCTAGCTGCTCGGCCACACTTGCCGGGGTGAGGGCATGTCCTAAGGAGCAGCCCAGAACCAGCAGAGGGAGGTGAGGGAGGTCATCGGAGCATGCTGCCCCCATTCCTTTCTCTGCTGGCTGCTTACTAAGAAAGGAGCCACCCCCTGAGCTGGGATCCAGGAGGGCAGGTCTCTTCAGGGTAAGGAGGGACCTCTCCCTGCAGCACAAGGAGAGGGAGTCTCCTCCTGGGAAGTGCACCAATACTTTTTCATTCGTTCTACTGCTGTCTACTGTGCTGGGCACTGTGGTCACACTGGGACATCAGACTCCGTTTCCACCCTGGGGATTCCCAGTCTGGGGGCCGGAGGACCCAGTTGCAATGTGGATGGTAGGGATTCCCAGGCAGGGCTCCGTTGGACATTCTCTCGTCCTAGCTAAGCATCTAGGTACCTCCAGCCAAGAGTTCTGATGCGAACTAAAGGATCCAGCCCCTAGAAGTTGACATGCCCCCCTGTTTCTTGTTCACACCCACACCCCCTCTCACACACACACACTCAGACTTGTAGACACCACACGGCCCTGCCTGTTGAGGGGCTAAGTCCCTGGATGTACCTGGCACTTACCTGGCCATGGCTCACCCGGGGGCTCTGCAGCTGCTGCTCTCGTACTGACCGCTCCTGTCTGTCCTGCTGCTACAGCCCTGGCAGTCGGGCTCCAGTGTCCTTGCCGCTCTGCCTGGACTCCGGCTCCAGCTCAGCTGCAGGAGGACAAAGGGGCTGGACGCCAGGGGGGAGGGGAGAGGAGAGGGGGAGGAGGGGACGCTGAGCTTTTGTTCCATTCTTGGGCCAGCCCTGGGAGGGAGGGAAGGCAGGAGGCGCGAGTAAGCATGGCGTTGACCGTGCACGCATCTCGGGGATCCTTGTACCTGGACTGGGGGTGATCTGGCACTGGCTGTGCCCTTGAATAAATGTATGGATGTGAAGGTGTGGGGGGGCACTGCCCTTAGGAGTCGGGGTGTGATCGGGTGGTTGTGAGGGTCCAGGTGTGCCAGGGAACCTGTATGTGAGTGTGGGAGCACACAGGGCTGTGGTGGGTGTGACTGTAGTTGTAGGTGGGACTAACTCTGTGGCCGCATAGCTTCAGGGCCTTGGATGCCCTCCTACCTCTGTGTGACTCTGCCTGTCTGTGTTCCTGTTTGACAGCAGACGTTGTCATCGTGAGACTTCATGTGTCTGGTTGTCTGCCTGGTGGGTCCCTCTTTGTGTCTGTGTGGTCCTGTGTGTGATGTGGGTCTGTCTGCAGGACAGGGGGTTGTGTCTTGGGGCCCACGTGTGGTCCTATGGCCGTGGCATCGTATGAGTTGAGGTGGTTTTCAGCAATGCACCCACGTTGGAGGGGACTCAGTGAAGTGGGCCGTGGTAGTACTGAGCAGGCCTGGCCTCCTGGAACCAGGGGAGGCCACCCTATAGGCTGGTCCCAGATCATTTGCTGCCTCCACGAAGGGCCACAGGGCCTGGTGTTTGAGAGGCTGGTGAGATTTGCCTTCACAGAAGAGGACAGCAATTGGGAGGAGGTTGCTTTGACAAGAGCCCAGATAGGCCCAGGGCACTTGGGGTCTGGTCCTGGAACTGCCATGACTCGCCATGCAGCCCTAGGCAGATCACTGCCCATCCCTTGGCCCAGCTCTTCATCTTGGCAGGAGGGAGGCTTGCAGTTCCTGCCCTGCCTTATCTTACCGGGTTGCTGTGACACTCGGGGAGGTTTGTCAGTGAAAGCCATGTGCCATGTGGAGTCCGTGAGGCCTGGGTGCTGCAGGAACGTGACCTGGCCAGCTTGGGCAGGCTGAGTTTGTGGAAGGAGCTGTGATGGGCTCACTGTGATGCTGGCCAAGTATGTGTCCCGAGGCCTGGGGCCAGAGTCTGTTTCGTGTACCCCACGCCAGGGAAAAGTGTATTTCCTTTCTCCCTAAAAAAGGAGTGTGCGTTGCTGTGTGTCAAAGGACAGGAGAGGTTTGGGCCCTTTTATATCTGTACTTGGGAAGGAGGGCCCTGAGCAGGTGGGGGGCAGGCTCCACCTGGTGGGGGCCACACCCCTGGCGTCCAAGGAAGGAGGGAAGAAGTGGGAAGGGAAGGGGCCCTGTCTCTGGTTTTCCTGTGAACAGGGCAGTCAGTCTGTCCTGTGCAGACAAGGGGAGAGTGTGAAGGGTGGCATCAGGAAGGTGGGGTTCTCAGTAACTCTTCAGGTCAAGGGACAGGAGCCAGTATTGACCATAGGCTGCAAGCTCAGCTGAGGGTGGAGACAGGACTGGCTGTCTACCCAGCTAGGGGATGGCCTCCATCCTCCCTCCATTGTTTGGGGTGAGGGGAGGCAGCTAGACTGCCTCTGCACCAGGGAGGTGGGTACAGTGTAGGGTCCTGGTGAGAGTGGGGTGCTAACTCGCTGTCCCACTCAGAACTCCCAGCCCCCTCTACCTGCCCCTGAAGGCTCCGGGATGTCTCAGATAGCCCAAGTGTGGCCACGAGCCTGGGATATCCTGGCCAGGGGCACTGATGGGACAGGGAAAAGCTGGACTGAAAGGTCAAATCCACTTTCATGGGTGGGTCTGCCAGAGGCTGGAGAGGTTACTGAGGCATTTTGGGTAGAGCAATATGCCCCATCCCTAATCCAGCCATTCAGGATTTCCCTTATACTTCATGCCCAGGGAGAGGTGGTAGTTGACCTCTGCCCCAGGAAGGGATGCACTTGGCAGATGTTCAGTAGGATGAAAGGAGGGTGAATCCCCTCACAGTTCCCAGTGGGCAGTCCTAGAGGTTAATGTGGGGGGCCCAGTCTGGATTCCAGCATTTGGGAGGGGTTTCTTTTCTTTTCCTCCAAGAAGGTGCCAGAATTGCTCAGACCCCAAGAATTCTATCCAGAAGACCCGTTTGGAGAAGAGATACATCCCTTGGCTCCTAGGAAGCACCTCAGAAAGCCGCCATATAGCTGTGAGGGGCCCTGCTGGTTCCACTGCCCAGCCCTATGTCAGACCCAGGAGGCCTCCCCATCTGCCTTGCCATTCTGGCTGGTTATGGAAGGCATGCATCCACTCTGGGGCCAGAGCTTGGGCGGGCTTCTGGGTTGGTTTGCCCATTCTCAGCTGTGTGGCTTTGGATAGTCACTTTACCACTCCAGGACCATCTCCCCCCGCCACAATATGGGGATACTGGTCCCCAATCCCAGGGCTGTTCAGGAAGTCCCAGTGTCCTGGTGATGCTGGGTAGGGGCCCAAGCACCCTAGCACCCTGCGCTCTTCCATTCATTTCTGAGAATGCTTCCTCCTCAAATCATCAGCCCAAAACTGAATCCCAAACCCAGCAAACCCTCTCCCTACCCTCCCACAGACCATTCAGAGACGACACATGTCAAGATGGCAGCTTTAATCATATTGACCAAGGCCCTCAGGTTCGCTCTGCTATAGGCCTCCTTGGCCATATGCCCACCTTTGGCCATGCTTAGAACACTCTTTCCCATGTGGCCACTGCTCTGTGGCCACAGATGTGGAAACCTGAGGTTGTGTCAGTCTGTGGATCTCCTGGGCCTCTGTGCCACTCTGCCCTAGAGGCCTGCTGGACACTTAGGTAAGGGGTAAAAGCAGCCTTAAGCCTACTCTTCTGGCCATCTCCAGCTGCTCCTGGGGACGTGACTCGGTCCCTCTCCTGGTAGGAGGCCGGTCGGGGAGGAACGTCTCCACCACTGCAGCAGGCTTTCCTCCTGGGCTGAAAATCCTTGTGCTTTTGAGACTGACATGAAGAACAGAGGCCCAGTCCAGGCCCTCGAGGCAGGAGACATGCAGAAGTTGATTGCCTCTGAGCATAGACAGGACGGACAGGTGGATATCCACATTCTCAACTGCCACAGGGGGCATGGCATAGCCCAGTGACTCATCAGAGCTTCCAGATCAGGATATAAGGGAAGGCCTCCAGGGGAGGACCAGGCCCCAGGCTCCAAACTTTCCAGAAGGAGCCCCAGGCCTGCAGGGGCATCTGTGAGGCTGGAGTCCTGACCCAAGGGGGCCTCAGGAGAGAGGGGAGCCCCCTCCAAGGGAGGCCATGGCTGACAGAGGGCTGGAGCCAATGAGGAGGCCATGGAGCCAGCTCCCAGCGCACTCCCAGGCCAGACATGCTTCTGCCAGCTCTCTTGGGTTCCCTGGTCTCCACATTAGATACAGGCTGGGACAGACAGGTCTTCGGCTAACACCCACTGCGGTCTGTGAGCGTCTTGGTGCGGCTGCCACTCCTTCGGTTATCCATAGGGGTGGGAGCATTGTTGGCATACGTGTCATAACTGTTGTCTGAACATACAGAGAGCTCATCGGAGACCTCCATGCCGTCGCTGATCTCTGTGGGGCCAGAGGGAGGCAGAATGTGAGTGGGGAGAAGAGGGGTCCATGAGGATGGCTGGCAAATGCAGCGGGAAGGGTAACCCACGGGAAGTCCTGGTCAGGCACTTGGAGGTTGATGAAATCACTGGGTTCGGGTTTGCTATTGAGGTTGGCTTTCAAGGCCCTCCTTGGACTCTGCAAACACTCTTGGCCACACCTCAGTCCACTCTCCCCTGGAATTCCACCTTCCAGCCACAGAAAACCATCTGTACCCTCCTGATCTTGGTGCCCATGCGTTTACTCAGGGCCTTTGTACACACTGGCCCCTCTCCTGGGAGTGTCCTCCCTGTCAACACTTCCTTTTCTTAAAATCTAGCTCAGTTTTTCTCATCTCTGTTATTACCACCTCCTCAAAGCCTCCCCTGAGCCCCCCAAGCTGGAATGGGGCCTCCTCATGGCCACCCTAGCCCCTGTCTCCCCCTGCCCCATCACCTCCTGTACTGTCACTGTTGGTGGCCCCCCCCCCCAGCTGGAGTACTTCAAGCACAGGGGTGAGGTCTGGGCATCTGTGTCCCACTGTCTGGCACAGCACTGGACATGTAACAGAGGCTCAGAAAAGGTCTGCTGAGTGGAGCTGCGCCTACCCTGAGGGGAGGTGAGGCTGAGGGTCTCTGGAAAGGACTTTCAACCTGGAGTGGGCAGGATGGGGTGAGGATTGTGGCTGGCTCCTCAGAGTCTCCACTCAGAAGGTGCTCAATGAACGGCCTTTGGCACTGAAGGACAGGTGGGGGCCTGGAGGCGCAGAACCTGCCAGGCCGAGGGGCTGGCCTCTTTCTTTCCATTCATTCTCTCCGCCCCTTCTGACTTCTCTGGGCCAGGCTGTAGGAGCCTGGGCACCCTAGGGGCCTTTGATTGGCCCCTCCTTCCAGGAGCTCCCCAGTGTGGCTAGTGGGCTGTGGGCCACCAGGGGAGGCACTCCAACCCAGCCTTGGTGCTCAGGGAAGGCTCCTTTTGAGCCAAGGCAGGGGGAATGCAAGTGCCCCATTGGCAGGAATCTGTAAATCCTAAGCACCTAAGACAGTGCCTGGCGTTCATCTGTTGAAGGTATGAATAAATAAAGGAGTGAATGAATGAGTGGATGGTCACACAATCCTGGAAACCAGCCCCCAAATCAGTCACCCCCACTGGAGTCTCGGTCATTCAGACAGTGGTTACTCAGCATACCCCTGGGCCAGGTGTGGTGCTAACCCCTCAAGCACCCTGTGAGGGAGGACCAGTCCCTTTTACAGAGGAGGAGTCTGATGCTAATTGTGCTCTGGTTCACCTATCTAGTTGGAGATAGAGCTGGGATTTGAACCCCAGCCCATCTGGCTCCTAAATATCCCTCAAATCTCTCCTCTCCTCTGTGCTCCCACACCCAATCTCTCCCCTGAGCTACTGGTTTCTTTGCCTCCAGCTTCCCCCTCTTGTCCACCGTCCACACTTGCTATAGATGGAATTTTGCTCTCCCCCAAATTCATAGGTTGAAGTCTTAACCCCCAGTACTTGCAGAATGTGACTTTGAGAATAAGGTTGCTGCAGATGTTAATTGGGTAAGATGAAGTCATTAAGGTGGGCCCTAGTCCAGTATGCCTGGTGTCCTTATAAAGAGGGGAAATTTGGACACACAGATGCATACTGGGAGAATGCCACGTCAACACAAAGATGACCATCCATAAGTCAAGGAGAGAGGCCTGGACCAGATCCTTCTCCCATGGCCCTCAGAATGAACCAACCCTGCCAACACCTTCATTTTGGAATTCTAGCCTCCAGAACTGAAACAAATTTCTGTTGTTTAAGCCACCCAGTTTGTGGTGCTTGTTACAGCCCTACTGTAGCAAGGACAGATCTGCCCATGACCCTACTCTGCTTTCAAAGTAAAGCCCAAGTTCCTGACCACACACTCGAGGCCCAAGTGCCTCCCTAGTGCCGTCCTCGCGAGTGTGAGGCCACCCCTCACGCCATATGGAAGGATGGATAGTTCTTGGTACTCCAGTAAGCCATGGCCCCTCACTACCTCTGAACACCTGCTGTTCCTGCCTGAATGCCCTTCCTTTCTCTGCTTGGTCAGCCCTCACCTCAAACCCATCACTCAGGCCCCGCCTACACATCTTTCCCTTTCCAGTTAGGTCCCCTTGCAAAGTGGGCCCCAAGACCCTCACTGCCCCAGAGAGCTCTGATCACTCTCCTCTGCACCCCACTCTGGCTCAGCACCCCTATTAGAGCTCTAGTGGCACCCAATTTTCTGTGTATTTTTTTTATACAGCTGCCCCCTCCATCAGATTGGGAATGCCAACAGGGGCTGGCAGCAAGCAGGCATGAAAAATCAGCATTTATGGCGAATAAGCCAGGCAAAGGGAAAGCAGCCCCCACCCCCGCCACATGTCACCCCTGTCCACCACCCACGGGGCTGACAACCACAGGGGAGTTGATGGCCGCATATGGAGGGGTGCATGCTCCTGTGTACGTGAAGCCGGGTGGGTGGATGTATGTCCGTGCTGTGTCCCTGCCTGTACGTGGCGTACTCAAGTGCAGGGGCTGGTGCAGGTAACAGCCCACGGCCTCATTTTGCAGGGCTGCCCACCTGAGAAGATGAGCTTCTCCTTCATGATGCTGACGTCCCGGCTGGTCCGGCGCACCGCAGCACTCAGCATGATCTGCTCGGGGTTGTAGCTCCGTATGCCACCCAGGCGCCACCTGCAGAGATGGCCCATGGGCACAGGTCCTTTCCCAGCCTTCCTTGGAGCAGGGATCCTGCCCAATCCCAGAACCTATCTGGATTTGGCCTGAGAGACCAGCAGGTCTCTTGTCTAACTACAGATGGGGAAACGGAGGTCCAGACAAGGGCAGAGCTAGGGCTTGAATCAGAGTCTCCTGACTCTCAGCAGGGCTCTCCAGCCTCCCCCTTGTCCCCAGAACCCGAGATCAGGTCCCCTTGCCCTGGAAGATGGTTGGTTTGGGGTTGGTGAGTTGTGTTTCAGGTGCCCACAGTTGCACACGGACTCTGAATGGGACAAATTGGGGGAGAGCTTAGCAGGCATGACTCTGACACTCATCTGTGGGGTACACACCGGCCTCAGGGCGTCCCAGCTGCTGTATCCTCCAGCTCCCCCATGGGGCCAGGCGAGTGAAGCCAGTGGGGAGAGCC